AGACCTCCTGATCCTTGGCCCTGCACACTGTCCCCTCCCCTGGTGACCAGGACCTCCCCGGCTCAGCCTCACCTTGGATATGGTGCATAGCTTAGGATGTATGGCCACCAGTCTAATTGATGCTGACCTGCTAAGACTCAACACCTACCAGCATCATGAGCCCTTCCTCCCTCCTCCAGGAGGGAACCTTGATGAGCCCTCCTTTTGATGGATGATCCATCACGCCATTTTCTCCTCACTACCTGGATAACAAATTAGCCAAATACTCTCCTGAAGGAGAGAATCTGATGTTCCTTTTCATTCTAGTAGATGGGTAAGATGAATGGTAAAAACACTGTACCACAGTACAAAGGGAAGGGACACTATATTCAGCTACGTAAAAACAAAACAAAAAATTTGTATTTCTGAATAGAGAAAAACAGACCCAAAAGTGAAAGGAAACAACAGATTATGAAAAATATCTTCAATAAATATTATAAACTTTGTGACCTTGAGAACAAAGAAATTGGTAAGGAAAAGTTTAAGGACCTTTTAAGGTCCCTAAGCAAGGATGTGAAAATACATATCATTATTTTAAATGTAAATAATAAATAAACATTTGGAAAAGTGTTCACTTTCACAGTTGCCAAAATATGTAAACTTAAGCAACAAGCATACATTCTGGATTCCTGTATACATCTTTAATAACTAAACCATTTTAAATATTACTAACACCCAGTGTTGGAAAGGATACAGTGAAAAAGCTGTCCTCATTCAACTGCCACTGATAATGTCAAGTTTTCTAATATTTTTAGAAAGCAGTCTGTCACTGCATTTTAAAATATGCTTAAACTTTTTTACCCAATAACTTTCCTAAGGAGTAAACTATTCCACTCCAGAAGTCACAAGGTATTCACTACAGTGTTATTCATAATAAAAACTAGAAGCAGCCTCATCTTTGTAGAGCATTGATTAAACAAATTATGGTCAGTAAGTTTAATATAATATAATTTAAGGATCGAAAGTATAATTATAAAAATGACATGGAAAGGGCTTCCCTGGTGGCGCAGTGGTTGAGAGTCCGCCTGCCGATGCAGGGGACACAGGTTCGTGCCCCGGTCCGGGAAGATCCCACATACCGCGGAGCAGCTGGGCCTGTGAGCCATGGCCGCTGAGCCTGCGCGTCCGGAGACTGTGCTCCGCAGCGGGAGAGGCCACAGCAGTGAGAGGCCCGCGTACCGCAAAAAAAAAAAAGACGTGGAAAAGCAAAAAATTACTGATTGTATATTAAGTGAATAAAATCAGAACACAAAATTTTAGCTATGCTAACAGTAATGTACAACTAAGCGTGTGTTTGGATATTCATTAAAAAGAAACATTAAAAATAAAAATAATTTGATAAAGAATTATATCTTTGGCTTCACATTCTTTGATTATTGTTGATTTTATTTTCTGTGCAATAAATAAAAATTTATTTTTTTCCACCATAATACAGGAGCACAGAGTAAGTAAAACCAAATGATGCTAAAATGATTTTACAAGATCAGTTAAAAGCACAGCAAACAATGAAAGTGAATTTTCTAAGTAGTAGACACTTTCTCCGAGCGACCTCTGTGGCTTTCCCTATGGAATAAATTTCAAAGCCAGCGTAACCTCTTTAGGGCAGGTATTCTTTATCCTATTTACTAGTGTCATCTACAGCACCTCGCTCAGTGCCTGGCAAGCATTAGGTGGTTAACAATATTAATTGAATGAATGACAAAATTAATGGTGGATGAAATCATACATAATGTACTTGATGATATGAACAACAAGTGTAAACAGCCATATAATTTAACTTTTGAAAATCCTGTCTCTAATATGTGGCTATTTTAAGAAAAATGCTGACCTGTCCTGTGTTTTTCAGGTAGAGTCTTGTAATTTTTCAGAAAATCTAATGTTGAGATTAGTCCACCAGGTATTTTCCTATTCGCCTGACCTAGCAATAAAATATACATACAATAACATGACTATTAATACCAATGTAACCTATTATTTACTTACAACATAGCATGCTATTTTCGTTTCCTAAGGTTGCTGTAAAAAAAGTACCACAGACTGGGTGGCTTAAACAACAGAATTTTATTCTGTCATAGTTTTGACAGCAAGAAGTCCTAAACTAACATGCTGGCAGGTCCACACTCTCTCTGGAGGCTCTAGAAAAGAATCATTCTTTGTCTCTTCATATTTTCTGGTGTTTGCTAACAATCCTTGGCATCCCCTGGCTTGTAGATGTGTCCCTCCGATCCTGCCTCCATTGTCACACAATATTGACCCCGCCTATCTCTTCACAGGGCCATCTTCTGTGTGTGCGTCTCTGTATCCAAATTTCCTGACTCTTAAAGGTACACCAGTCACTGGATTAGCCCCCACTCTAATCTAGTAAAACCTCATCTTAACTCCATTACATCTGCCAAGACCCTATTTCCAAATAAGGTCACATTCACAGGGAAGAGGGTTAGAACTTAAACATATCTTTCGGGGGACACAATTCAACCCACAACACATGTACAGTTATCACACTAAAATGATTATTAAGATGTGATCAAGGTTTAAATGTAATATTTCCAGAAAGAATACACAGGAAGTAAATTAAGGATACTGATCATTAGGAAAGAAGGGATCCTCTTCCAGAAGGGCCACCATCTCAGGGCACTGGTGAAATTTCAAGTGAAATTAAAAATTAAGACTTCAGGAAAGATGTTCAAGCATAAGAGAATTAAGCAAAAACTAGCCTTTTTCTGTTAACCACTGGTTCAGAATCTATTTAATGTTCCAGTTGGGGAGCTATCTGCATCAATGTTCCATGTTATAACATAATACTTTGCTTTATAATTCCGTAAAATTGAGATTAATTGTCACTTAGTTTAACTGTAACATGAATTTCTTTCTTTGCCAAACACACTAAAGTACTAAAATATTATGAGCCCGGTGGTTTTATATTATTGAACCAAGTAAAACTACTGGGCTAACTGCAGACACTATTATTTTACATCATAATTTAGCAATGGTTGTTATGCTAAATCCTTTAACATTTAGTTTTCACAAGTATATGAGAAAAAGACAAGAACCCTCTTCGAATCAAGTAAGAGAAGTATTACCTCTTAATAAAGATATAAAATTAAGGTATAACAGTAACCTCATGCCGTTTTATGAGGCAAT